GGAACAGAGCCTATCTCCACCCCCGCTATCCTCTCATCACAACATGTCTTTTTAAACTCTGCTTCAATGGAGGCCTCACAGGCCCCCAGGGTCCCAGAAAGTGGGTTGATCAGGTGAGCTTTCTCCTATCTCTAGGCCTCCCATTCTCTGGCCAAGGAGCCCGAGTGGAAGGAACACATAACACAATCTACATATGGGTGATAATGCAATCTGCACCGTGTGCTGGGTACTTGGTGGGCACGAAGGTGTATGAGACCTTCCATACAGAGAGGTCTTTAGTTCTCTTCATTGAGTACAAGCGCACTAACACTGCATAACTCCAGAGAGTTCTATTCCCATCAAAGTACTTTTCTTTCTTTCTTTTTTTTTTTTTTTTTTTGCAATTTTTGGCTGGGGCTGGGTTTGAACCTACCACCTCCGGCATATGGGGCCAGTGCCCTACTCCTTGAGCCACAGGCACTGCCCAGTCCTTTTATTTTCTTGACAGAATCTTGCTCTGTCACCATGGGCTACAGTACAGTGGCATTATCATAATTCACTATAATGTCAAACTACTGGATTTAAGTGACCCTCTTGCCTCAGCCTCCCAAGTAGCTGGGACTATGGGCACATGCCACCAAGCCTGCTAACTTTTTTCCTATATTTTGTAGAGATGGGGTCTTGCTCTTGCTCAAGTTGGTCTTGAACTTCTGACATGGAGCAATTCTTCCACCTTAGCCTCCCAAAGCAAGCAGTCTTTATGAATGTCCCCTGGAGTTGTGCAGTGCTCAGTTTTGACAGCTGTCTCTGGGCCCTGCCAGCAAGAAGCCTAAGATGTGTACATAAATGATGTCAATGCAGAAGAAGGAGATAATTTCCTGCTTGGGGATTGGGAAGACTTCATGGAGGAGGCGATTATTTGGGTTTGGACTTTGAAGAAAAGGAAGAGGTAACATGGGAGGGTGATCAGGCAAAGGCATAGTGTGAGCAAAGTGGGGGAAGCTGCAAACTGTGTCCCTTCAAGCCTGTATGAAGGGAATAGGAGAGAGCAAAGTGGGAGAACAGGCTGCAAAGTGAGGGTGGCAGCTCTGAGGCAATCAGGAGCCACCACAGCTCAAGGGAGTGTCACAAACAAGGCTAATCATTGGAAAGTTAATCAGGAGGCAGGATTAGGGGCTATCAGCAGGGGTCAGTGAGGAGATAGCAGCAGTCCTGGACCTGGATGGCACCATGCCAGAGGAGACAGATGGAGGAGGAACCAGCAGGGGGCTGGTGGAGTAGGCATGGGCATTAGAGGGAGAGCCCTAAGTGAATTCCTGTTTTTTTCTGTTCGTCAAGGACAAATGGATGGACCCTGCTGGGAAGTATGCATGAACATCTGGGATGATGCCAACCCTGAACCAGCCTCTGACCCATCAGCAGGGTTACTATGGCTTTGGACTAGACCTGGTATGGACCATGATCCTCTCATCTAACTTCCCTCTCATGCTGCAATCAGAACTTTCTCTCCAAAAGCCCCGGGGGACACCCCTGCAGACTGCAGTAGTGTCTGGTGCTCTTGATCCCTCTCCCTTCCCTCTGGGAGGCAGGGGCCTGAGGACCTCTGGCAAGCTGTGCCAGGGAAAGGGTAGATCCCACAGCCCCAAAGCCTCTTCCTCCTCAGCCTGTGTCCACTCTACCCCACCGCTGTCTGTCCCTGGCTGCCTCTCCATGGTTAGGTCAAGGCAGTGACGCAGGAGTCAGGGGCCCGGGAGAGCTGAGCCTGGGGAGGGGAGGCAGTCGGGACAGAATGCACGTGCAGACATGTGTGGACGTGAGTGTGCATGTGCATGTCCCACAGCTGGGTTCTGAAAAGGAAGTAGATCCAGGCTCTGATGCCTGAATGGTGCTGAGACCCCAGATGGTAGGTTTGAGGAGGATTGTGAGCAGACTCAAGGTGGGCAGGGGAGTCCGAGGGAGCCAGGACCTGGCACTTCCAGGCAGAAGCACACCTACCCCACTCCCACTCTTTCATCTCTCCAAACCACTCTTTGATCATGCTGTCCCCCCACCCTGCCCCCACCTCCTGGCTCCTTCCCTCATTTACATCAGACTGGAGTCCCAGATTCCCTCATCTGAAGCCACAACTCCTGGGCCCCCTCCCTGCCTTTTCTGTTAGTTCTTATAGCCAAATCATCTTTGTGTTCATTGTGGCCTTCTACTAGATGTCAGCTCCCCAGGGCATGCATCCCTGTCTGTGGCATTCACTACTCTATCCCCAAGTCGCTGGCCAAGAGTGGGTATTCCCTAAGATTTTTTTTTTTTTTTTTGAGACAGAGCCTCAAGCTGTCCCCCTGGGCAGAGTGCCGTGGCATTACAGCTCACAGCAACCTCCAACTCCTGGGCTCAAGAGAGTCTCCTGCCTCCGCCTCCCAAGTAGCTGGGACCACAGGTGCCCACCACTACGCCCGGCTATTTTTTGGTTGCAGCCGTCATCGTTGTTTGGCGGGTCCAGGCTGGGGATTCGAACCCGCCACCTTAGGTGTACGTGGCTGGCGCCTTAGCCGGTTGAGCTATAGGCGCCGAGCCTCCCTAAGATTTCTTGAATGAGTGAATGTTTCCCACTCTTTCCAAAGAAAATCCAGATTCTTCAGAGTGGCATTCAAGGTCCTTCCCAACTTGAGACCTCTCTAACTAGCAATCTGGCCTTATCTCCCATCTCTCCCATCTCCATCACTCCCCTCCATCCCCACCTGACCCTTCTTCACCCACTTCAAATCTCTTACTACTGACATCCTGCCCCATCTACCCCTGGTCAAGGCTGAGTTCATTGTCACTTCCTCCATCAAATCCTCCTTGATTTCCTCCATCTAGAGGTGAGCTCTCCCTCTTCTGAGCTCTTACAACTCATGTCTGTACTCTCCAGTTCTTAGACACTGTCCTGGGCACCTATCTTATCTCTACTCTTGCACAAAATAGGCACTGAATACAGGAATGTAATACATGTAACATCTCCAAGCATGGTGGCACACACCTGTAGTCCCAGCTACTCAGGTGGCTGAGGCAGGAGGATTGCTTCAGCCCAGGCAGGAGTACTGAGCTGTAGTGCAGTATGCCTATCTCATGTCCACACTAAGTTAGGCATCAATATGGTGACCTCTCAGTAGCAGAGGACTACCAACCAGGTTGTCTAAGGAGAGGTGAACTGGCCCAGGTCAGAAATAGCAGGTCAAAACTCTAGGCTGATCAATAGTGGGACTGCACCTGTAAATAGATGCTGAACTCCAGCCTGGGAAACATAGCAAGACCTTATCTCTTAATTAATTAATTAATTAATATATCTAATATCTAGTAAGGAGTGTTTGTAGGGCTTTCCTATCTTCTATGAAACCTGAGTGAAGTCAGGCTGGTACTTTCATCACACTCATTTGACAGGTGAGGGCACTGAGGGCCACTTTCTAAGGTTTGAGAGGGAGGCTAGCCTTGGACTCCTGCTCTGGGGAGCTTACCTTTCTGCCTCCAGGCTTCCAGAAGCACAGAAGCTTAGCTGTAAATCCCAACTCCCACCATTCTTGGCTTTAGCTCTATTTCAGGGTTCTTAAGAATTCTGCCACGTAGGTTAACCTATACTACAGGTCAAAAAACCCCAGATGTCAAAGTGCATGTGTGTTCTGCACAGTGTGATGTGTGTGCTCTGTGCCCTAAAAGGTAAGTTTCTGAGTTTTCAAGGTCCTAGAAAGTGAGGAATGGGGTAAAAATAACCCCAAATTTCTGTTCTGTCTTAGGCCTTCATCCTCAACACAAACAACACTGGCTCCTAGAACATGTTCTGGGATTGTGAGAGGGCAGGCACCTGAGTCAGCCAGCCGCTTCCGGGCTTCCAGATACAGCTACTTTGCGGGAACCCAAAAACCCAGGCATAACTGAGCCCTTGCCCAAGACCGCGACATCCCCAGGAGAGGTGTCCGAGTCCCCCCCAGTCTTTCCCGACGGCGTTCCTCTTGCCGGCATTCCGTCCATCCCACGGGTGCGCGCCCGACTGCGTTCTCCTCCCAGAATCCTGAGGCCCAGGACAGCCCCGTGCGCTCCCGCAGCAGCCCTTCTCCCGTCCAGGCCAGCTCCCGACCCAGGCGTCCTGCCCCTGCTCTGACCCCGGGTGGCCCCTACCCTCGGCGACCCCTCACGCACACAGCCTCTCTCCCACCCCCACCCGCGCACGCACACATGCTGATAACAGTCCCGACCCCCGGCCGGAGCCGCAGAGTCCCCGAGCCAACCCCTGCCGGTCGCTGCGCCGCGCCGGACTCCCGGACCCTGGCCACACCGCGCCGACTTCCCTCCGACCCCAGGCCCGGCGGCCGCGACGGTCCCGCGCCCTCCGGACAGCTGCCCTCTCCTTCAGGCCGGTGCGGCTACCCCTGCCCCGCCGAGCTTCCCGGGATGAGGGCTCCCGGCGTGGGCGCCGGCCGAGCCCCTGGTCGCTGAGGGGCCGGTCAAGGCGCGGAGATGGAGGGGCGCGGTGAGTACCCGCTGGCTGTGGAGCAGCAGCCGGCTCCAGCCCCTGTTTGAGGAGGGATTTAGCTTTGGGGCTATTGGTCGGGAGGTGACCGGGTTCAAGGACCTGCAGCTCGCCAAGGACCCCGGAAGGGAGAGGGCAGTCTCCAGGTGCCGGCAGGGCTTGGGCAGGCTTGGCAAAGTCCTGACCTGGAGACAGGGACAGGTTTGGGAGTTCTGGGAGAAGAGGTGTCGCTCTTTGGTTGGAGGCTGATAAGCTGCTACCTGGGTCCTGGATCAACCAGCAGGACCTGCGAGAGGGGACTCCTGTGTCACACCGGGGTTGAAGTTTGGCCAGAGAAGTGGACAGCGGTAGCAGGGGTTGGGGGCGGGGGGAGGTGATCACAGGCCACGGGATTGAATGAGGGCTGCGGCGCCCGAGCGCTGGCAAGATTGGGGTCAGGAGGGACTAGCTGGGGACAGAGGCGCAGGATGAATGAACCTGCTGCTCCACACCAACCCTTCTCCGCCCCTCCTGACTTCACACTCTTCCAGAATGTCCTGCCCGGCTGCTTCTGCTCTCCTTGTTGCTGCTTTCTCTGGGCCTCCCAGTCCTGGGCGCCCTCCCACGCCTAAGCCTCATCTGTGACGGCCGAGTGCTGCAGAGGTACATTCTGGAAGCTAAGGAGGCAGAGAACATCACGGTGAGGCCCCCTCCCTAGCACACACCAGGGAACTCACTTGCAGAGCTCAGGGTAGAGGTGGGAAGGGAGACCCCAGCTCCTATCAAGATGAAGCAGCTGGTGGCCCCCAAAGCATACCTGAAAGCTAGGTTAGGGGCAAAGCCTCCCCCTATGACTTCTCCTATGGGGGAGGGGCCTGACTCCCTGCTGTGCATTTCAGATGGGCTGTGCTGAGGTCTGCAGCTTGAGCGAGAATATCACAGTCCCAGACACCAAAGTTAACTTCTACACCTGGAAGAGGATGGAGGTGAGTCCATTTTTTCCTTCCTTTTTGGAAGTCTCTTTTTGAGAAAATGATGGGGTAGGAGGGAGAATGATCAGACAGAGAAGAAATGGAGCAGCAAGAGGACTGTATGGAACATTCTAATTGATTTGTTCACTTATTCATTCATTTATGCATTCAAGGAACGTGACTGCATACTGTCTAGTTTGCTTGGCTTGGTGCATGAGGCTGCTGAGGGGGGAGGGGATGGCCTGGGCCAGCTGACTCCAAGTCTCCATTCCCTTTAGGTCAGTCAGCAGGCTGCAGAAGTATGGCAGGGCCTGGCCCTCCTCTCAGAGGCTGTCCTGCGGGGCCAGGCCCTGTTGGCCAACTCCTCCCAGCCATCAGAAAGCCTGCAGCTGCACCTGGACAAAGCCATCAGTGGCCTGCGCAGCCTCACCTCCCTACTTCGGGTGCTAGGAGCCCAAGTGAGTAGGAGTGAACACTTCCTTTTGTCCTTTCGTAAAATGGAGGAAAAGGGTCCTGGGAAGGAATACTGGGGTTCTCTCTACTTCCCTACTCTGCCCCTAGTCACAGTTCATCTGGGGTCCCCAGCACTGTAGGAACCTCCTGTTTTTTTCTTGGCAGAAGGAAGCTGTCTCCCCTCCAGATGCAGCTTCTGCTGCCCCACTCCGAACATTCACTGTAGACACTTTGAGCAAACTTTTCCGAATCTACTCCAATTTCCTTCGGGGAAAGCTGAAGTTGTACACGGGAGAGGCCTGCAGGAGAGGTGACAGGTGACCAGGTTCCCCTTCCCCATCATGTCTACCACCTCACTCATCATCATTGCCTGTGCCACACCTTCCCCCACCTCTCCCAGCCCCCACTGGGGGGCTATTAGCTCAACACCAGCTTGTCCCACAGACACTCCAGTGCCAGTGATGACATCTCAGGGGCCAGAGGAACTGTTCAGAGCTCAACTCTAAGATCTACAGAAGTCATAGGGCCAGCCTAAGGCCCCGAAGCAGGAAGAATTCAGAGATCAACTTTAAACTCAGGGACAGAACCACGCTGGGGAGATACCTAAACTAAGTGTCCTGAAGAATGGGATGCCAGGACACACTTTGGAGGCAAATACCTCTTTTTGCATCTACCATCAGGGACAGGAGGGTGAACTGGAGAATTTAGGTAGCAAGCTGTGAATTCTCCAGGTTCCATGGGGACTCTCATGACAGTAGGGTCCCCCTGGATAGTGGGGGTGGTGAGAGCCTTGAAAATGGTGGGGGTTGACCTCTGGCTCTCATGGGTTCAAGTCTTATGTATTTTTCAATTGCACTGGCAAGAACTGAAACCACCAAAATGGCTCTTGGCTTTTCTTTTTCTTGAGAGCTCCCTATTTCCCTGTCTCTGCCCTCACCCTGGCAGCAGGGCAGCAGAACTGGGAAACCAAAAGTAGTGATTGTGGGGGAGGTTGGGCCCTACGTGCTGCTTCACACAGCCTTTATGACCTCCTGACCTCATCGGGCCTGAGGCCACAGGCTCTGCCCACACCAGTCAATAAGGCGGCTCCATTCAAGGCTATTCCTTAGTAGGTAGCTTCCAGTCCTGCCCAGAACAAGCCTTTAGTGAGCTGAGGCTGCCATCGAGGAAGCAGGAGCCAGGAGGAGGGACCACTCTGGGGACTAGGAAGAGCTGCCAAATGCTGGCTACTGGACCCTCATCATTTCCTACCTCATCTTTGTGGCCCCTTTGGCTGGCTCAAGCCACAGTCCCAGAATCAGTCTCCCACCTCAACACATAGACCCCCTGTAGGTCTAGCTATCCTCTTTTCTTCCCTGGGGGCTGTCGCCATTACTGTTGCCCCTGAAACTCACATATGGGGCAGTAGACAGGGGTGCAGTAAGAGCCACCTTCACTTGCTCTGGGACAAGCATCACTCCCAGTGGTTCACTCATATGACCTCATTATATCCCTCACACAATCCCATGAAAAGGTTGCTGCTGTGATTCCCATTGCATAGAGGGAGACGCAAAGTAACTTCTCCAAGAAAACAGGTATCCCCAATTCTCCCCAATCACCGCTTCCCTCCTCTGCTAATTCCTCCCACCTAACTGCGACTTGACCCCGTACTTCCCTAGGATAGTAGATACAGAACAAAGGAACTCCAACCTTCACTCTTGGTTCCTACTTCTTCTTCTTTTTTTTTTTTTTTGAGACAGCATCTCACTATGTTCCCTAGGCAGAGTGCTGTGGCATCATACTTGCAGCAACCTCAAACACTTGGGCTCAAGTGAGTCTTTTGCCTCAGTCTCCTGAGTAGCTGGGACTACAGGCACCAGCGATGGCGCCTGCCACAACGCCCCGCTATTTTGTTGTTCTTGTTGCAGTAGTCATTGTTGTTTAGCAGGCTGAGGCTGGGTTTGAACCCACCAGGCCTGGTGTATATGGCCCGTGGCCTAACTACTGAGCTATGGGCACTGAGCCCTTGGTTCCTACTTCTTTTTTCTTTTTGAAGAGACAGAGGCTCACTTAATTGCCCTCGGTAGAGTGCTGTGGTGTCATAGCTCACAGCAACCTCCAACTCCTGGGCTTAGGCGATTCTCTTGCCTCAGCCTCCCCAGTAGCTGGGACTACAGGTGCCCGCCACAACACCTGGCTATTTTTTTGTTGCAGTTTGGCCGGTCCGGGTTTGAACCCACCACCCTCAGTATATGGGGCCGGAGCCCTACACACTAAGCCACAGGTGCCGCCCCCTTGGTTCCTACTTCTAATTTTACCCTTTACTCTAACAACTTCAGATTCCTTCCAAGAAATAAAGCTTTGGCTGGAGAGACCTGTGTGGACAGCAAACGATGTCACAAAACTGTATCTTCCCAGGCACAGTGGGTCAGACCTATAATCCCAGCACTCAGGGAGGCTGAGGCAGGAGGATTGCTTAAAGCCAGGAGTTTGAGACCTGCCTGAGCAAAAGCAAGACCCTGTCCCTACGAAAATAGAAAAAAAATTAGCCAGGGATGGTGGCACAAGCTTATAATCCTACCTACTTAGGAAGCTGAGGTAGGAGAATTGTTTGAGCCCAAGAGCTGGAGGTTCCAGTGGGTTACTATGATGCCATAGTACTCCAACCTGGGCAACACAGTGAGACACTGTCTCAAAAAAGAAAAAAAAAAAGAACGAAAGAAAGAAAAATCTATTAGGACCTCAATCCTGGCCGTTATCCCATATGTGGGAGAGCCAGTCTTTCTGTTTATATCATAAAACAGAGAAGTCGGGC